ATTCTACCCAAGGGCAGGTGGGCTCTAGACACCTTTGCAAAAAAGAGGAATAAAAAGGGGCGGATGGCAGAACGGCCCCCAGACTGGAAAGGCCAGGCTGCCTTCCAAAACCAAAGGGGGGGGGGCTTAGCGGGGGGGGGGCAACTCTTACACGATATCCTTCCTTTGGCAGCCAGCTTGGGATCCCCCCCCCCGCACGGATTAGAGGGGAGGGGAGGCCAGATGTTCCAGCTGGCTTTAGAAAAGGCGGGAGAGCAAGCGGCCTTAATGCCCAGCCTGGCCAGGTAGTTGGGAGCACCAGAGAGCAGCTTCCTGGGCTACGAAAGGAGCCTCCAGGGGCCAAGTTGACTGGGAGGCCTTGGGAAACGGGGCTCCCAGAGCACCTCGTGGGTCTCGGGCCAAGCAGGGAAACTGACCGGCCCCAGGCTCAGTAGAGGCTCTCGGCTGGTCCTTGGCTTACGACCACAATCAAGCCCAACACTCCTGTTGCTAATTGAGAAGGTTGCTTAAGGGGTTCTGCCCCACTTTGCGACGTTTCTTGCCATGGTTCTTAAGCGAATCACTGCAGTTCAGGGAGAGACATGGTCGTTAAGTGACTTCCCCATTGGCTTTGCTTGTCAGGAGGTTGCAAAATGGGATCGCGTCACCCTGGGACACAGCGGCTGTCGTAAATGTGAGCCAAGCATTCAAATTCTGACCACAGAATATGAAAAACATTCGTCAGTCTCTTTTTTCAGTGTTGTTGTAACTTTGAAAAGTCACTGAATGAACTCTTCTAATTTGAGAACCACCTGAATTCTCTCTCCTTATTTATTCAGCCTCTGAGATGAATATATGAGAGTGAAAGAGTTGGAAGGGACCTCGGAGGTCATCTAGTCCAACTCCCTGCACAAGAAGGAAAGTCTTGTATTCTAACAGAGCTAATCCTCGCCTTACAGCCACAACTGAGGCCAACGTATTTGTTGCTAACTGCAACCTTTGTTAAGTGAATTTTGCATTTGACCATTTTTTGAGCCACAGTTGTGGCTGCAATTCATCAGTTGGTCATATGGTCATTAAGTGAATCCAGGTTCCCTCATGGACATTGCTTGTAAGGAGGTCGCAAAAGGGGATCACGTGATGTGGGGACACTGCAACCACCATAAATGTGAGTCAGCTGCCAAGGGCCTGAATTTGGATCCTGTGAACATGGGCATGGTGCAACGGTTGTAAGTATGAAAAACGGCCCTAAGTCATTTTTTTCAGTGCCGTTGTAACTTTGAACGGTCACTAAGCAAAATGTTGTAAGTCGAGGACTCCCTGCAGAAAAGGAGGTGATAGAGAGGCTGGGTTGGAAGAGAGACTGGAGGACGGACCATCCCTACAATCTCTGCCGATGAGAAAGAACCCTCGGACGTCCGAACACGCAGAGCCCCAGCAGGGAAGGCCAGAGAGCAGAGCGGAAAGGTGGGACGGAAATGAAATGTAAGGAAGTTCAAACTACTGACATCACGTAGCAGAACCACGGAGAGTGGAGAGAGCAAAGTGGTGGGGGCTCCTACCTGTTGGGGGCGTCAGGTGTTGTTCACGTGAAGTATTTGTACCGCTCTATAAAGCCTCTGCAAGGCCACACCTGGAGTCCTGCCTCCGGTTACGTTACAAAAACAGATGTTGGGAAAAGTGCCAAGAAGAGCAACTAGGTCGATTAAAGGCCTGGACGCTAAAACATGCGAAGAAGAGTAGTTGCAGGATTTGGGTTGGGCCAGTCTAGAGAAAAGAAGGGCTGGGGAGAACAGCATGCCAGGATGTGAGGGGCTGCCACAAAGAGGAGGGGGTCAACTTATTTTCCAAAACACCACAAAGCAAGACAAGAAACAATGGATGGAAACGAATCAAGGAATCTGGAATTCAGGAGAAACTTCCTGGCAGGCAGGACAATTAACCTGTGGAACAGAAATTGCCTTCACCAGAAGTTGTGGGTGTTTCATCACTGGAGGTCTTCGAGAAGAGGCTGGGCAGCCACGTGTCTGAAACCGTCTCCGGTCTCCTGCTTGAGCGGGGGGCTGGACTAGAAGACCTCCAAGGTCCCTTCCAGCTATTTTCTGGTTAACCATCAGCACCCAAGGAACCAGCAATCCAGGAAAACACTGCAGAGCAGCCAGGAAGGCCTGGGAAAGATCTTTAGGGTGTTAGGGTGCACCTCGCCCAACACCAGGACATGGCAGGCAAGTCCCCCCCCCCACCTTCTCTTTTGTGGACAAGGAGGGCAGAGTCTTGGGCCTTTTGAGTTCGGTCTTGGTGGAGACTCCAGAGAAGACAGTGGGTGGACCAGAACCAAATGGATGGGGAAGACCTCAGGGTCACCCAAGACCTAAAGGAGCAGGCTCAAGATATCCTATTTTGGACATATTGGACAAAGGCAAAGAGGCAGCAAACTGGTGGAGGCCCTGATGCTGGGGAGGGGCGGAAGGACCAGCTGGGGACGGACCAAGGACTGTCTGGTCCCTACGAGATCAAAGCCAATGGATGGTAGTCGCCCTTTACATGGGGTAAAGCAGAGGCCTCCAACCTAAGCAACGTTTGGACTTCAACTCCCAGAATCCCCCAGCCACCAAAGCAAAGCTAGCCGGGGAATTCAAAGCCCACAAGTCTTAGAGCGGCCATGGTTGGAGACCCCGGCTCCAGAGGATGCAAGGACTTGAAGCTGGAAGGGAATTGGATCCTGCCTCTCCCAAGAGGCCTTTGCGCAGGGCGGCCAAGGCCATTTCTGCATTCAGCCAGAAGGTCACCCCATCGTCCGCCACCTCGGAAAGGCAGGTCAGCCAGCCAGGCCCCCCCCTTCCGCGCCCACCAGCTGGGAGGCTCAGGGCTTCTGGCCAAAGCAGGGGAGAAGCAAGAGCCAGCTGTTCTTGTGCTTAAGGCACATCTGGCCCAACTTTGCAGGATGTTCCCAAAGCCGGGCAGGATCAGATCTCACGAAGAGCTGGGTGGGAGACCACCAGGAAGGGTTTTTTGGGGGGTGAGGGGCAAACGGCAGCGGACCCCACAGCAATCAGCAGGACTCAGCAGAGGTGGCTTTACTGGTCGGAGTCAAAAGGTGGTTTTCTCCTGAATTTTGTCAGGCGAGTCTGCGCTGGGTGCTCTTCTTGGCATTTTGAGCCCCAGCCCCCAGGAGGTGCAACACCCCCGTCCCGTCCCCCCCCAACTGGCCCACTCGGAAGAGCCTTCCCAGCAGTCCACACGGGCAGATGCGTCCCCTATAGCAACGGTTCTTCTCTGGGGCAACAAGTAGCACGGGGGACCGGACAGCATGGAGAGCAGAGTCCAGCAGGTGCAGCCCCTGGTTCGCCCTGGGTATCCCCCCTTCCTAAATTGGGGGATTTGGTTTAATGTGCATCCGGCCTGTATAAACTCCTCCAGACGGGGGACCCAGATGGGGCTTTGGCACGCTGACCCTGGCCTGCAGCTGTGCAAGGGGCGAGGCTCTTGCCCAGGGCAGGCTGCAGGAAAGGCCCTGGCTCTTGGGCCAGGCTCCACGCCCAGCACCCATTGCCCCGTCTCCACAGCCCCCTCGCATGCACGCCTTCCGCTTTCCCTCCCCGGTGGGCGGGTGTGAATGTAGCCGCCTCCCTCGCAGGGTGAATTTCGGGCTCACTGCAGCAGGGAGGCCCAGGGAAGGTCCCCCCGACCCCAGCGGCCCTTTTGGGCACGGAGGCTCCAGGAAAGCAGGGGGGGGGGGGGCATTTCAACCATGTTTCTGTTGGTTACACTAAGCAGGCCCAGCAGGTCACCCATGTGGGCGGAAGGGCACTCAGCGACGGCCCTTGAGTGGGCAAAACACACCTGTGAGTTAGCTGGGGGGGGGGGGGGGGGAAGTCCAGGGCCCGCCTCTTCCAGTGCAGCTGCAAAGACCCTGCTGGGCGATGGAGCCCCTCCCCCTTGGGGTGGCAGGTGAAGCCCTTGTGACCCCCCCCCTCTTTCAGGGCAGGCAGGCTTCAGGAGGGACCACCGCAACCCCCCTCCCCCTGCAGGGCCAGGGTGGGGAAGGGGCTATTCTCAGTATCCCTCCCTGGGGAGAATCTCCTCCAGAGCAAAGGCTGAGCCCACTGAGGGAGGGGGGAGGTGAGGCAGGCAGCACAGACACCCCCCCGGGAACCTCCAAATGGTCCACTCCACCCTCCAAGGTCTCCCACGACTGCCACACTCTCGCTCGCTCTTGGGGGCCAGGGAGTCTCCTCTATTTTGCTGCCAACTATGGCGGCTATCGGGAGGCACCAGGCGCCCCCCCCTCCCCACTGGGGCTCTTCAGGTGGGCAGAGCCAAACTATGGCCCGGGGTTCAAGGCCTCCCTGGGCACTGAGCCACCTGCCTCTGCACCCGAGGGGGCCTGCAAGCTTTAGGGGCCGTCCTGGTTTGCAGCAGCCTGGCAGACATGGAGCATCTCGCGGCGCCTGCAGTGCCATGCCCCTCCCCCGCAGCCCAAGGGAGCCCAGGGATTCCTCCCCAGCCGGAAGAGCCAAGCTCCCCCCCCCACCTGCTTTCCCTGCCATCCTCCGCCCCCACCCTGCACCAGCCGCCTCCTGGCTCCAGCAACCGGGAGGGGGGCAGAGGCGGAGGGGATCCCGGCCGTGGTCCGGCTGTCCCTGGCCTCCCCTCCTTGAGGGCTGCAGCCCCGATGGGGACAAGGCCCGCCTGGCTCCTGCCTCTCGTCTCCTTCTGGAGCGCGACCTTGTCCCACGGAGGAAGAGGGGGGCTTGGTCAGCTAACAGCTGGTAATCCCTGCTTGGCCTCGGCTAATGCACTGCTGGATGCGGCTGGGGGGGGGGGAATCCTCTGCCACCTGCCCAGCCCTGCCTGGCACCTGGCTGAAGGTGCCCTTCGGGCGAGGCAGCCTTTTGCCCTGTCGAGCACCAGGGGATCAGGCCGGAGCGCCTCCTCGTTCAATTCCCGGATTAGCAGACCTAATCTGGTGCGAACTCTGCCAAATGGAGAGGCGGCAGCAGCAGCGCCTGGGCAGCCAGGAAGGGGGTGGAGTGGCTGGGTGTGTGTGTGTGTGTGTGTGTGTGTGTGTGTGTGTGAAGGGCCCCGCTCTCCCAAGCCATCCATCACACAGACCCGCAACCATGTCCAGGCCTGGCGGGGGCCCTTTTTATTCAGCAGAGCATCCACCAGGCATCCCCGGGTGAGGCTGCTGGCTCCAGCCTTGGGCTGGACGTCCCACTTCCAGGCGGTCCCTGGGAAGAGCCCCCCCTCCACCTGGCCTGCCAGGTGACTTGCGGGGCGGGCAGGTTGGAGCAACGGCCGGAGCGGGAGGCACAATCCCCTTTGCCCCCAAGGGTCCCCAAAGAGGCCGGGGGGGCCAAAGCCGGTCATTCTGCGAGGGTGATGATGTCGTAGTGGATGCCCGGCTGCAGCTGCTCCGGCCCAGACTCCGTGCCGAAGGGAGCGTGGGCCACGGCCACGTCCGCCACTGCTGCAGAGGGAGAAGCGAATGAGCGGAGGGGAGGGGAGGGGGGTCCCAATTCCACCCCACTCACGGAGGGCAGGAGACTTGTGGGCAGGGCAAGGGCGGCACGGGCCCACCCTGACAAAGGGAGAGGGAGCCTTTGGAGACCCCTCCTCCTCCTCCTCCTCGGGAAGTGGGGTGGCCCAGAGGATTCAGCCCCCCCCTTCGCCCCCCCCCCAAATGTGCCCAGACTGCCCTGCGGCACCTGTGCAGAAGAGGCAACCAGGGCTTTTCCCTTTGCCCAAACTGGCAGCCGATCGGTCCAAGGCGACGGGCAGCAGCTCCTGCTCCGCAGGGGTCTCTTTGCTGCTCCCGGCCCCGCCGATAACCGTCACGGCCGAGTGTGCCGCGGCCTCCAGCTGGGCTTGTGTGACAAGCTGCTGCCCGGGGGACACTGGGACGTACTGGATCTGTGTGGGCAGAAGGCGTCCGTCAGACCCCCCCCAACCCCCCAGCCCTGGGAGCCCATTCAGGAGCTCAGCCTGGTCCCCCCTCCCCCCACTGCTGCCCCTCACACCTGGGGCTCCTGCACGAAGGGGCCGCCTTGCTCGTACTGGATGTGGGTGATCTGGCCCTCCTGCACCTGCAACGGCAGCCGGGAGTGAGCGACATGGGCGCACAGGAGGGGGACCCTCCCCC